CTTTAAAGTCTTAAATTCTCTGAAGTTTGTTCTAGGTATTGAATGATTTTAAACGGGTATGTATCTTCCAACATCCATGTGCCTCTAATGCTCATTGAAATGGCCCCAGTTCTGTCCTTTACTGTAAGTCTCGATGGTTAAATTTAAAGAGGACAGTGACTACAGAGGAGCTGAGGTTAGTAACGTTAAAGCAAATTAGGGATTCAAACTAACATTAGTCCTTTTAAGCTAATGAGATTATTCTTTTGGATTCTGATGTACAAATAAAATGCTTGTATTACAGAAGGGAGGTGGTTCTCATGTTGCCTATTTATATTCTACAAATGTAAAAAGCAGTCAATTAAGACACAAAGGCAAACATGAATAATCCTATCTGTAATGATTCTGAGGTCATGAACAGTGTCTTCCTGCCATTATAAGGTGGTGCAGCTCAAAACTGCTTGGTGCTGCGCCATGAATATAAAATCATTGTGGAGAGCATCAAAACTAACCAAATTTTCCCAGATCTAATGGTTAGAATTCAACCCCAGTAGACTTATTTAGCAAGATTAGCTTTCAGGGTGTAGCAGTGTTTCCCCTATGGAGTTGTAGCAGCAGAGGTGAAGCAAAAGTTTTGTCTGAATATAAACCCCAACACAACATGCCTAAGCATCACTGCTCTTGTGTCCATGAGCTTGCACTGGACATTAGAATAGCTAGAAATGTCAGTTTTTCCAGTTTAATGTGAGCTTGAGTTGAATGTTTTGGTGGTGGTCATGGTCTTCCCCATGAAAATTTTCATGTCTCTGAACAAATAGTTGGAAAAGCTAGAGCAGATAAGAGTCTACTGGGGAGGAACTACAACCCAGATTTGGGGAAGTAATTTGGTTGGTTCTGTTGCGCCAGTGATAGCACAGCATGTTTTGGGCATCACCTTAATGGCAGGAAAACTCTGCTAATATGACCTCAGATCTGAGGTTAAAGACCCTGCACATCCCAATAGTGTTATTTACTCTAGTCAATTAAACCTCTGGAGTTAAGCAGAGAAACACACAGGTGAGAGAGTAAGGTCAGTCAGCTACAGTCTGTCCACACCTGCATAATCCCAAGAGAACATCTAATCAGCCATTCAAGTGAAACACCTATGTGGGTGTAACATGGGACCTTTAACTGCCTCCAGAGACTCGTTCAGTGCTTAGACGTTTGCCGGACAGCTTATGACAAAATGTCAATGTCTGACGCTTTACTACAGGGGCACATGCAATGATCGCAGTAAATACTTAACCACGGCCTACAATGTTTATTGGGTGGACATTTGTACAGTTTGTTTTAATGCATACATTACACATATTCATAGTCTGATAATCAGACTTACCATTTTGTTTCACTTCATTCTATTCAAATTACTGAACTAATCTGGATATGGGTGCCAATTCAGAGCTCTGAAACCAGACTAACGTATTCCATATATTTCAGTACATACTAGCAGACTAGATGCTTGTTTTTCTGTGTCTCTGGTCAACTTACAATTACATAGTTATTCTATTTCTAAGATCTCTGCTGGTCTTTGGACACTTTATTGTTTTGAAAATGTAACTTTTTGGAATTTTAAGATTTCAAGTATCTCTGCTACAATTTCCCTCTGGGGATTAATAGTACCTAACTTTGTACAGAAAAGGTTTGTGTATAATATCTCCTCTGTACAGTTTAAAGGTCAAGCTTGACTACAGGGAAGGATCCCAGGACCCTGAAGGACTTCAGTATCTTGCCTAAAGAGATTTCTGAAATGTGCTGCCCCCTGGACAACTCCCAACTGTTGTCCTCACTGTCACATAATTTGCCTCAAAGAAATGTAATTGTCACAGGGGCAACATTGAGACAAAACAAGCTTTCCAAATGACTGGTAACACAATCATGTTTTAAATCTGTTCTGGGGCCTGTATCATGAAGCAAGTTCCATTTAGTCCGGTTCTGTTTGTATTGTCACGTTGGTTGTCAACAGGTTTTGTTGACTCAGGATTTTAAGCTGAAAGCATTTTCAAATGAAAGAGCCAGAGTTATAAGCATCACCAGAACCATGAACCAAAAAATAACAAGAATTACGAGTGCAATTCTGGCAGGGACATTTATAAGTGTTCATGATCTGAATGGTCAGATGCCGGACTGCTGGCAGGTTTTGACCTGATCCTCTGAAGTTAGCCTGCTACTGGTGGTGGAGGATGTATTCGTGTCTTGGGGTTTAACTGTTTTGTGTCAGACTGCAACTAAAGGATTATTTTCATTATTTTGGATTATTGCTGATCATTTTCTCCATTAATCATTGTTTAATTTGTAAAATAAGGGGGGGGGATGATTACATCACAATTACCCAGTGACACATAACAAGGCTTGATTTATCTAACAACACTAGGGAATGCATGATTAAAAATAAATTAAAGTTAATAAAAGGAAAAGAAGCAAATCCTCAAATTTGAGGTGCGGGAACGATGATTTTTACATGAACAAGTAGTTGCCAATTCACTTTCAGTCATCTCATTGTTTCAGTTCTATTGTGAATTGTTGGGTAGTTTATAATAAAGCTGTGACAAACTCATTAAAGTAAAAAAATTCAATATTTAATAGAAAGTGGAATGACAAATAAAAACTGAAGTATTGTATTTGAGTTAACATACATAGTTACATTCCACTGCTGCCTGCTACCAAACAGATTATCTGTGCAGCACAAGTTACGATGGTCTCAGTTAAGTGAGACAGCTCCATGATACCCACTAATCTTGCTTTGTGATTCAGGCCCCTGAAATAGCAAATGTGGTCTAAACATCAGCAGATTACACAGGTATGGACAGCTAACAAGGCCACACAGATGTACACAAACATCCAGAAATGACATGACCGCTCTTATTAAAATACACAGCCAACACTGGATCCTTGGCAGGTATTTTATTTCATATATAGACGCTTTCTGTAATCAAATGTGAGTGCAATCAAACAACAGCAATACAAACATTACCAATGCAGTCTGAGAACCAGGAACAGGGTTAAAACAGGGAGTTCACTCACTCTACATAGCGAGCAGCTAGTAACCTCATGGACATTAAAAAAAAAAATCTCGTCTGTCAGGACAGTCCGCCGTCATGTGTACTTCAACCATGATGGTGGGGAGGGAGGTGGGGAAGCCTGTCTGACCCACCTCCTCTTACCCTAAATCTTCCTCCTACATGAAGTCCTGCCAGTGATACAACAGCCACTCCCCACCTCCATGAGTCCATCATGCACTCTGCTCTTCAGTGAACTAGATAACCTCCCATTTCCCTATCATGATTATCATCGTCATCATCCTAATAGTATCAACAACACACACACAAAAAAAAACCCAAATCATTTCCACTTCTCACACGGCAGGAGCCAATCAGAGTGCAGAGGTCCTTCAGGTTCAGTCAGTCTCAACCAATGGCTGTCCATCCGGGTTGACTAGAAAACCACGTAGCTGTACATGTAGAACCAAAGTCCTCATGCAGTGCCCTGCGAAGGTGGCACATCACATACGTGCACAAGTGGAAGTGGAGGGGGGGGGGGGGGGGGGGTATGGTTTTCGTGTGTCTGTGTTTTAGAGAGAGAGAGTGTGTGTGTGTGTGTGTGTGTGTGTGTGTGTGTGTGTGTGTGTGTGTGTCTGTGTTTTAAGAAAGGAGAAGCAAGGGTGTTAGGCAATGATCAGACCCAGGAGCCCAAAATAAAAAGTCCAGGAGAAAAATTACATACAAAGTCTTTATCCACCATCTGTCTCGGCCCTCCTCGAAAACCCACACAAACTCTCTCTCTCGCACACACAAACACACTATAGGTCCTCATGTTATTGTGAAGTCAGGTGTTCAATGTCAACATTCAAGAAAAAGAAAAAAAAAAAAACACCTCAATGGTAAAAATTATCTCTACCATCACAATGCTTCAGTTCATAAAATCTTGACATTTCTGAAAAGTGATTTTGTTTTCCTCCAGGTTTAAAGCAGTATGCGTGTGTGTGTAGTTGTTGTCTTTGTCCCACTGCTGCAAACACACACACACACACACACACACACACACACAACCAACATACGCACACTCACGCACTCCAACACACACCACATGTCCTCTTTTAGTGGAGAAAGACACGGCGCAATGGAGAGACACTCCTCCTTTTGGGCGGATGCACCGATCACCAGGAGGAGGATGGGGGTTGTTGCCACGGCTACCAGGGGTCTTCCAACTCACCAGCATTCTGGGTGATTAAAAAGGAAAAGAGAAGGAGAGCGGTGTGTTAGGTTTGTTGTCGCTGCGTCTTTCACTTCACAGTAGTCTGCCCCTGAGGCCTTAAATAATGGCAAAATTTGAACCTCACTGCCCTCTTACATCGACTTAAATTGAATAGATAATGGTGAAAGACAGTGACATTCCCGTACCCAGCCTGTAAGTTAACACAACCAGAACTCAGACCTCTGATGACTCACCTTGCGGAGAATCACGAGGCCAACTGTCAGACAGAAAAACAGGGGGAGGAGAAATGGGAGAATGGAGTCCCTATAGTCTATGCAGCTCCCCTCCACTCGTCGACGCCGGCCCATGCAATGCAGCGGCAGGCGTTATATTTGGAGGTTTCAAAACTGAGAGCTGCTCTTGTTTTAAAAGGAGACGACAGATTAAAATGCGATTGAAGGCTAGAGCTAAAAGCTGACAGGAGGGCAAGGAAGGTGAGGATTTATTTACTGTACGAGCTGTTCCCAAAAAACTTCACAGCCTACACAGAAACATATTCAACACATTAAATATAGTCTGAACACTGAAACACTGCTACAAGTTTCAGGGAATAGCCCTGCATCGAATGCCACAACTATTACTTTGGGCTCTTTCAGGGATTTTAATGACACAACTCATTTTGAAGGGCCCTGGTCAACACAGTTTCAAAGTGACTGATTTGGTACGGGACCCAAAGACAAGAAACACAGTTGTACAGTCAGGTTACAGTGAAATACACTTGACACAAATCATAGCATTATACCTCAAATCATTTTTATTTGTTCATTTGTCATTTTAACTGTGCGGGACTGATTTGGCCCATGTAATTGCATACAAATACAACTCATACATACACAAACACACACACACACACAGTGTTTAGCAAAACCACTTCTCCTCCTCTGATAGTTAAGTGCCTTATATTGAAAAGATAAGTGCAGTGCATGCAATACCAGAGACACTGGGCGTTACATAGACTTAAAATAACCTCCCTCTAACTGCTTTCAAGGATGAAGAAGAAACACTTTAGGTTCACTCTGTTCATATCAAACTTTCACAATGAGGCAAGAGTTTCAGTCATAACCTGTGAGGAATTAAATATTCCGTTTGTGGGCTTTTATGAAGCTGAAACACATCCTGCCACAGTGAATACCATATGTTTAACACTTTAGAGTTGAATATTTTAACAACTACTAGATGGACTGATATCTGAAGAAGCATTTGTGGTCCCAATCCCCCATCATGCTGCCATATAAGCAAGCTAATGTGAGGAACACTTAACACTAAACGTTCGTATGCAAGGAAGCCAAATTCTAACTGTTAGCATGTTAATTTGAAATAGTTGTTAAAATGTGTGGCAACAATCTAACTGTAGAAAATGCGTTAACCTGAGGGTGTCGCCAGAAGAAAAGCCATATTATTACCTAAAGCGAGATGGTTAATCGTATATGGTGACTTTTTTGTCATCTTAAATTTTTCAGGTTTAGCTCTACATAGCTTGACTTAGTTCAACATTTATCTGAAAGATGTACTTTATTTAGAGTAGCTGCGCTAAAGCTCGGCTGTGCTTTGAGAGCAATGCTAACAATGGCACCAGTGATGACATTAATATTCATCTGAAAACAGCGAACATTGTCATTCCAACATGTCTTCAATAGCATTTAAATTCCGATAGTTGTTAATATGCACGTAGGCATTTTATCATACATCCACTGAGTGGAAGACAGTCCCGTAAAAACAACCAGTTAGCCTTCACCTTTTAAGTATTTTCTTTTGTAAACCTGAAAAATCTTGTTTGAAAACACTTCTCATAAAGCATAAAGTTCACATCTGTGTCTAGTTTTCTAGTGCTGTGTCTTCTTTCCCTAATTTTGATGCGCTATATCATAATGTGCCCAAAATACCCTTCTCACGGTTGGTGAGAACCACAGGGTGCGTTTCCCCCAAACGGCAGCAATGAGCCCATTCCACACACGAAAAAAAACTTCGACAAACGACACAAAGCTGAAATTTTATGCTTTACGGAAAGTTTTTTCATCTTGGGGAGGCTATGCCAACATTAGTTGTGATTTGAGCAGCTAACGGCAGTTTACACCTAAAACCGACAAAGTTGACACAGCTAAAACAAAAGTTGAGCCACGTCACACAATGCAGAGAAAGCTAATGCATGTCTAAGAAAAGAAACACTGTGCAATAGATAAAGCCTTTTGATTTTGGAAATAACACCTTTCAGCTAGCACCATTTCCCCACTAGTATTTTTTCTCCATTTATCATCCAACCAACAACTTTGTTTTCTGGTGTTTAATCATCTATAGTGTGGTGGAGACTTTCAGTCTTATTTTAATTTATACACAAGTTAATGTTACAGCGCCTTTTGTCACCTGGTACCAGTATGTTTTGCCTTCTTGAGTATTATTGACACATTTACATCCACCTGAATTACAACAACCAGGAACACATTTGAACCTCGTTGTGAGTGTGGGAAGTGTGTCCCTGCTTCATATACCACACAACACAGAGTTAGACCCACTACAGCAGCGTACTAAAATGTGGTGATGTGGAATTAGGTATATGTGGTGAGGGAATGATTTCAATGAAATGAAGTACTTCAAGTACACACCCACCTACACAAGTGTCCCTCTGTGTTAAACTGCCCAATTTTTCAGTGCCCAGACTGGCTTGAACAACCTAACATCACTGACCATGCTGATAAATGGGCTAACACTCAAGTACCACGCACTACTAAAAACAGAAATTTCAGTCTTGATGATTGGTCTCTTGCTCGGTCACCCAAATTCATCCAGACACACACACACACACACACACACACACATACATATATACGCAAAAGTGTGTGCTCCGAGGCTGTAGATGGAGAAGGCCTGAAGTCAGTGTAGTGTGTTGAACACAGAACACAGTTTTCTCTGCTTTCCTTTGTCATTTTGTCCACACTGTAAGCGGGGGGGGGGGGGGGGGGGGGGTTAGTGGGGAAATCAGCCAGAAGCCAATACTGGTAGGCCATGGAGTGCAAGGTTCATTTTTTGCTTCACCAGCCACTTTTGCATGTAATAATAATTTTTTGTTATTGATTCTTATCTGTTGTAAACATCAGTCTGTGTGATCAAGTTATAAAAGTGGCTGGTAAGTTTGGGAATCCAAGCCAAGGTCGTCAGGGGATAGGGGAAACACACAAAAAAGAAAGTCCTCGTTAGTAAGGTATATAATGTGGCTCGGAGACAGAACTTGAATAGATATTTTTACTTCCATTGCATTATTAAAATATTCATGAATGGCAATGGCGGATAATTGATAGAGCCAGAAGTGGCTGATGTGTCCATTCAAGTTCTGTGATGAAGTAAGAGGAGGAGAGGTCATAGCACATCTGTCTAGAGCTCTGGGGTCGGGTGAGTGGTTATGCGAGTAGGGTGCTCAGTCAGAGGAGGGATTGGACTCAGGGGCAGACGCATCTTGGTTGGCCTCCGGCTCTGCAATGGCAGGTGAGGGTGGGGGCGAGGGGGGAGAGGGAGGGGAGGCTGGCTGCTTCCGGCCGCCATCGTCGTCGTCGAGAGTCCTCCTGCCCTCCCCTGCTCCCTCGGCATCGCTCTCCCCCCGCAGTTGGTAGGCGGCCAGGGACTCCTCCAGCACCGTGCGGTACTGCCCCCGGTGGTGCAGGCGGAACTGCCGCAGAGCCTCCAGCAGATGAGCCGCCGTGCTGCCACCTCCCTCCTCACTCTCCTCCTCTCCCCCCGCATAGGCCTGAGGTGACACGCCAGGGGTCAGACTCTGCAGGCACGCTCCATGGTCAAACACACACAGACACACACACTCACACCTAACAAACAGCTGCACAAAACTCAAACCATTGTCACACAAATATCTACCACACACTAGTGTGACAATGACAGAAACATTCTCTACCTCTGACCCTGTGACCAACAACCCTTTGTGATATTCGCTGTATGGTGTAACGGGGGTGGGGGTGGGGGTCTGTAAGTCAAGACTCCACTGGCATTAATTTGACAAATACACTGATGTGCTCTCACACACACACACCTCCTCCATCCCATCCACCCTTCCAGGCTGTTTAAACAGACACTGACCTCTTATTTAGAGTGTGTTTGTATAGTTCCTGTGGCCTTGATAGCTATTTCTTTAAGATGCTGGATGTGAAATTTCCTCCTTGACTACCTACTCTCCAATGAGGTTATTTTCAAATATCTCTTGACATAATTTTTTGTACTATGTTAAGCATCTGAAATGATCACCTTAAGATGATTATATATATATGAGACAATGTGTCTGAGAATGTAGAATTTCTGAAATCATGGGTAAGTCGGGGTAATTACTGATTTAGAGCACCAGCATCTGTCTTATTCTAATCCAAGCATTAAGCCAAAACATTTTAATGTTGAAGTTTCCCTGAATGAACATGGCATGATTTTGATGCACGTGGTGTGATCTGGGGCCTCATTTATAAACATTGCATTAGCACAAATGAAGGTGTACGACACTTTCTAAGAAATGTTGATGGGAGCCATGCTCACACACATGAACTGGATAAATGAGACATGGCAGAGGGATGAAACAGTTCAAAATGTAAAATAAACAAAAATATTAACTCTGAGTTTTATATAAAACTTAATCATTTAATATTATGAATTAATTTGCAAAAACAGAAAAAAGCCAGTCTTACATGAATAAACAAACACCCGTTTGATTGATTTCCCTGAAGTGCACAATAAAAGAACCATGATTTAGGATAACAAAACACAAACAAAGATTTTCGTTTTTGTTACTGAACACCTCAAATATGTTGCACAGTTTAATGAGAAATCATATTTAATTTGATCTGTAATTAATACTTGCATGCAGTTATTTTCATAAATAAGGTGAACTGTTGGACAAATGACGTTTAAACTGATGTCGTTTTCGATGCCACAGTGGAACAAATACGAGTGCATAGTTTCATATATTGTAATTTTCGTTACCTTATCCTCAAGCATTTGAGCCAAATCAGATGCGATGCTTGTAATAATATGAAGCAGCCTCATTAATTGAGAAGTTGTGTAAATAAATGTTTAAAAACTTACTGCATCTGGTTTTCTCTCTTTTCAAACGAAGGATTACAAATTAGGTACCTGGGTCATCCAGTGTGTCGCCCCCTCCATCAGGGATTTGCTTTCCTGCAAGTCGCTCATAATGGGGGTCGAGCTCCAGCATCCCCTTTTCATCTGATGCACTAACATTCTGTGTGTGTGTTTTAACCACCAAACAAAATCTCCTCTCTTGCTTCAATCAAGAACTTCAGTTTCACACTAGGTTAAATGTCTTTTTTTTTTTGGCTTTTCTGTCAGAATCTGTCATCCTTATCTTCATGCAGTTGCCATGTATTAATCGTAATTAGGGGCATTTCACTGACTATTTATAGGCCATTATGGGCATTAAAAGGGTGCAACAAGAACCTCACTCATCTGTACCAACATTTGCAATGATTGTGATTTATAAATGAAATTCAGAGGTGCATGTGCGCTGTGTTATAAAGCGCAATATTTTTGTGCGAAAGCGCATTCGTACGCAACCTTTTGAAGTGAATCCTACGAAGTTTTATAAATGAGGCCCCTGGTGACTCACTTTCACAATAAAACTGAACTTGTGTAGAATTACAAAATCCTATTGGTTGATGTTTCACATAACACGTTCCATAACAGCCAACTGAGTTTCATGGAGGTTGCCTAGGTTATTCTGCTGTGTTTATCCTCTAACATCTTTCACATGAATTCTCTCTCACTCTCATTTTCACACACACACACGTCCTTGTCTGGGCAGGTGTGTCTTTACGAGGTGGGGGGGGTGTGAAGGGTTGGCGAGGTGAAGAGTATAGAGGGTGATCAACTCACCCCTTCCTCTTCTCTGTGAGGGTTCAGCTTGTTGTACACCGCCTCGATCACACTCCGTCTGCAAACACACAAACAGCACACAGCTCGCTGCTTATAGAGGACAACAACTCCCTACATAATACAAACAGTCTCAGTTCATACTTAGCAAATGTATATTGATTAACATTTTAATGGAACAAAGAAAGCAGCTGAGTCGATACCTGAGTATCCGGAATTCATGCACAAACAGAATCTCTTTATGAATGTGTTCATTAAAGTGTTTTGCAGGGTGTTACCTGCATGACTGTACGTCTTTAAGTGCATGTGTGTGGCCCATGTTGGGCCCCATGCAATTGTCTGTGTGGGAACATACTCTGCTCAGTGTGACCAACTGTGACTTTATTTTAAATCTCCTTGACATTATTATATTACTTTATTTATTATTTTATGTAATTTATCTGTAAAGCTAAAGAAAAAAAAAGATAAACATAAAAGTTAATCGTCAACTATTTTGGTAACCGACAATTCGACTATCCATTTTTCATGAAGAAAAAAAAAGGACAAATGCTTTTCAGTCGTATCTGACATTAAACTGAGTATTGGTCAAATAAAACAAACAATTTTACTACATGACCTTGGGCTTTGGAAAGTTGGTCGCTTGTGAAGTTAGGGATCAAACTAAAGGTTGATTTATATTCCTGCGTTGGGTCATGCATTTATACTTGTGCGTCGGTGTCACCAGCAAACGCTAGTTGACAGTAGCGCTACAGTGTCCACTGAGTTGACTTTGGCCGGCCAAGCAGGCTAACTTTCGGTTTAGCCCTCCGCTAACATGAATGCGGGTAAAATTGTATACGTGCGGCTATTGTACATTTTTTAAATTGTTACAGACCAAATGGATCACATTGTGATAGTGAAATGAGTCTTTTCGTTCGGGTTGTGACGGTGAAATATATTGATCCACCGTGTTACAGCCGCTGATTTGGCCACTAGTAAAAGTAATTCCGGTCGGCTCGCACGCATTGCGAGGCTACCCAGCTGACCAATCAGTTTTTACGACCCGCGTCGCCTCGATGTGTAGTTTTTTAAGGAGGTGCACGTCAGGCGACGGCTACGGCGACAGCGATGGCGTAGGGTACGGGGCTTTGCAGAGGCTATGCCATCGAATTGATACAGAAGTATAAATTGCACTTTACAGTTCAGCACATTGAATTTTGACATGTGTACATTAGAATGTAATGTAAATTAAGTATCTTAAGTTTCTAAAGCTTAACAAAATCATGTATGTGGATAGTCCAGTTTAATAATATTTAACAGTATATTCTTATGTGTGAAAGGCAGTTAGATGTTATTCCAGGCTGTGTATTTACTTGCTAGCCAGGCCTCCGCCAGGTGGAAGGTTGGGGATGTTCTCAGCGGCAATGCTCCTCAGGACAGACACTAGGTCAGGGACTCCCGCCTCCCCACAGTTTCCCATTAGCTCTACACACAAACACAAAGAGGAAAAGTTTGTTAGAGGTTATGTTAGGGCTGGACAAGTAAAACAACAACAATAATTATTACAATATAATTTTTTTTAAATAACAAATGTTCAATAAATATTCAATAAATGTTTGACTTTATTCACTTGAATGATACACAAATTAGGAAATTTTATTAGAAAATGGACCGAAAAAAGCTTTTACTTAATTTGAATCGTACATATTTATTGACAAAGTTTTTATCATAATTGTTTTGAATGTTCTACCACAGATTTGTTATGTGATCCACTGTTTGGCATCTAGTGTTTAAATTACAATTAACCATCAGGTTTATTCAACTTCCACTCAGAAGCAAAAATTTGCCTTTAAACTCAAAATAAATAAGAATTTCATACTTATCGTGATTAATTATCGATATCAAAACATATGAAACTTTTCATTGTGATAACATTTCTGGCCATATCGTCCAGCCCTTGGTTATGTTGTATACTGAGCGAGTTTATAGTATTTAAACACCACCTTTCTCGGCAGAGGCTGAGAAATCACCCATAGCAGTGGGAAAAAAATCTGATACACTACTACTTACCATTTGTAGCAGACTGATTTCAAATATTTGTTCTACCTAAAGAATGTTTATCTTGTCCTGGTTATGTACACAGAAACGGAGCACAGTATGTGAGCCACTTGTTTCACTTTTACAAAAAAACATTTTTTTTTAAATGTCAAATAACTCTTGAGCCCAAAGAACAGAGTAGGCAATAAAGTACCTCTGAACAGTTAAATGTTTAGTAGTAATGGCTGAAATATTTGGAAATTAATTTAAATTTATTTTAAATCTTTGTGACTCTGTGTCCAACCAAATATCATGACAAATGCATACCGTCAGTCTATTTTTATGTTTGTATTTGTGAAGGTGTGCATGTACAAATATGTCGCGTGTGCTGACCCTGAACACGGGTCTCCAGGTATTTATCCAATTCCTCTTCTTTCTTCACAGCCTCCTCTGAGATCTTCGGAGCTCCGGGGAAACTCACCAACACCACACTCATATTGTCCCTGCTCCCCTGCAGGAACGTGGACAGGCAGAAACAGAACAAACAGAGTTAAATGAAATATACGTAGTACATAAGGTTTATTTTGTAGTTTTCAGTGTTTCCCACAGGACTTTGAGAGACTATGATGGGTGGGCCTCGGAACTTCTCAGGGGGTTGGGGGGCATGCCCTGACTTGGCCTCTAGCTCAAAGAGTAGGGATATACCAAAATAAAAAATTCTTGGTCAAAGCCAAATACCAAACTGAATACCAAACAAGTACATTCACATTTTTTCTATTTATTTTGCCTTTTGTTACCATTGCATTAAATAAACAGTGAAAACATGCTTTTTGCTCAGTGTTTCCCACAGGATTTGGTGAGACTATGGTGGGTGGGTCCAAGGCCCAAGAGGGTTTGGTAAACACATGTAATATGTTTTATACTTTCTGTGAATATAATCCAATTAATCTTAGTTCCATACTGTATAGACACCTTATTTTGACAAATCTGACATTGTCACGTGTATCCTCCCATCAAGCCTGACCCAATTTGATAAATAATGTTGTATGTGGTCCTTGTATTGCGCAACATGAAGACCTAATAGCCTCTCTTCAGGTAGGACTCTCATACTGCAACACTTGGTCTTTGTAAAGACCAGCTCGCACTGGTTCATATCATGAGATGTGTAAAAATATTTCTGGTTCATTTTGAAACTATGGCAAAAAAATTGGACTGCGGGCCGCCATGTTGTTTATTAATGGAAAACACTGTTTTTAAGTTGTACAGGGAAGAAAGAAGAAAACAGGCGTGTGCTTCATTTCTAAGTGAGTTTTGAGCCCACTGACAATAAGGCAATGACAATTACAAAAACTTACATATAGCCCCATTAAGGCAAGCTGCCAGCAGTTTGTGTTTATACACTACTTTCAAAAACAAAAGAAAAAACCCACTGATTATCAGCACCGAAGAGTGACCTTACTGCTGAAATTTCTTTAAATTAAAAAAATTAAAAAAGAGGCAACATCAGTTGCTGTTTTTTATATTTCAGCAATTCCTGTAGTCGCTTTTTATAGGCACAGACTTGCAGATGGTGGTACTTTTGAATTTTGATCTTGCACTGCAACTTTTACGGTCCGTTTAAACCTGTTTTGTTTTCAATTTAATTCTTTTCAAAAATGTTATTTAAATGTCTTTTTCTATTTTAATTTAGTATTTAATTTCCCTTTTATGTTTTAAGAAAAGTACTTTGAATTGCCTTGTTGTTGCTATACAAATAAACTTGCCTTGCCTAGTAATGAGTTATAGCAGCTCACAGTAAATACAGCCAGACTGATACGGATATTTGTATTTGAGTGTAAAAACAAATCTGATAAATTTTCTTTACACAACCCATAACATAAATAAACATTTTGAATAAGATTTCCTTTTATTTCTTCTCACAAATGTTTTTAAAACAAGAAATTTACTGCACAGGACATTTTATTTTATTTGATCTTTGGCATTTCTGTACTTCAATTCCTTGTCATGAGTGAGCTCGTCAGCACCAATGAGCTAATATTATCCAATATATCAGCGTGGCCTTTATTATTCATGTTTTAACTGAGATTACAAGTTGAGTAAAAAAGTTAAACAGATGAAGAGCTGCAGGTGCATACTGAATTAAAGATTTCCCTGTGGAGGTTTTGACCTCTAGCAGCAATATGGAGAAGTTATTGAGCATCTGTTTTGTTTGTGAGCATGGGTGATGCATTACACAGTTCTGCCAATGGTTTGACTTCAGTCTCTACTAATCTACAAATGGCAGTAACGTGCCAAGTTATGAGGTAACGTGCCAGCAAAGACAAGAAGGGGAAAGACTGATAAACATGGATGTAAACAATGGAGGTGTCAAAATGTTTTTAAAACGGCTTTGCAGATGTCAAATGGTAAGGGGACTGTACTTTAATTGCGCCTTCCTAGTCTTTCGACCAATCAACGGGTTTTACACTACACGTCACACACACACACACACACACACACACACACACACACACACACACACACACACACACACACACACACACACACACACACACACACACACACACACACACACACACACACAGATGGCAGAAGCTACCAATGCCAACTGCTCATCAGATAAGAGACTTACATTCAGACACACACACACACAGCACAGACATCGGGAGCAATTTAGGGTTCAGTATATTGCCAAAAGGACACTTCGACATGCAGAGTGGAGGAGCTGAGGATCGAACCATCGACCTTCTAAGTAGTGGACCCAGGAGTGAATGGTGACTGTAACCTTTCACAGTGAAGACAAAAGCCAGACATTAGGAGTTTTTGTGTCCAGTGTAAAAGGGGCTTTATAGACAAGATAGAGCGATGGCCTTAAACCAATGGATAGTCACCTTGTCATTGCCTTGTGGTCAGAGTGACGTTCTGTAATTGAACAGTGTCACTTACATTACAAAAGGCAGAGGCAGCAGAAGAGATTTATGACAGCGTGTGGCTGTTACTTGGGATAACACATATAGTAAGGTAAAAATAACTAGGCTGACGGTACCCACGCATAAATAAGGGGCATAGAGCCACTGCAGGATGGCGTGGATGTTGAGATGACCTAAAGTTACATGAAGATGACTCATGTGGTGACAAAAACAAACAACAGTGCTCTGATTCTAGCAAGGTTATGTTGCTACTCTGAATCTTTTGTTTATTTCAATTGCCCATATTGCTAATGATAAAAAATAATAAATCCATTTATTCTGGGGTTTCTGAAGGGGAGCGTGACAGAAAAACGTTGAGAACCACTGAGCTAAGGCAAAAAGTGATTCTTGTTTTTCTTGGAGATGGCCAATGGGCAGAGTTGAAAGCAATAATCAGTGTTTCCTCTATATGCATTCAGCAACGGAATCACGACCGCCAATACTAAAATTTCCCATGATCATTAAACTAATACAAATCTTTTTACTCGCACACTGTTCGAGCACGGCAGCACTCAAGGCTCGGCTCGCTTCCTCTCCTCGTTCTATGCAGAACATACGTGACAGATGGTGTTATAAGAGCAGCATGCGTAGTGTTTGATAGTCTGAGCGGCAGAAAGTGACGGTGAACGCGAGCGGAGGAAAATATTCTGGCAGTAAATGTTGTTTCCCACCTGCTGGAAAAGTGAAGTCGGTTAGCACTAAGTTAGCTAACATCTCCCCTCCCCTTCAGACTGCACAGCTGAGCAGGAAAGCTTCTACAGCAGCTACATAGCTGCTATGTAACTTAACATTAGCTCAATATACAGAAAGTAACTGGAAGCTGTACTACTGCCTACTTGTCCAATGTTGAGAACATCAGGTATAAACTTAGACTAAACTGACGTAGCCTGCAGCTCTGTCCTGTACAGACTGATTAAATTATTTTTGAGTTTTCAGTCTGAAAACATGGCTTTGGAAAAGAAAGGATGGAGGTGACTGGAGGAGCTGAGGTTAGTAAACTACTTAGTGATGCAAACTAGTCCTTTTAAGCTAATGAGGAGATGTTTCTTTTTGGATTTTAATGTGCAAATAAAATGCACCTCAGAAGGGAGGAGGTTTCTCATGTTTCCTATTTTTTAGATTATTGTCTACAGATAAATGTCAGAAGCTGTAAAATGAAGACACAAAAGGCTAACATGAACAGTCCTATCTATAATGATTCTGAGGTCATATTAACAGGGTTTTCCTGCTGTTAAGGCTTAGGGGTGACGCGCTAAACATGCTGTGCCATCACTGTAAAAATCACTGTGGAGCAACAGAACCAACCAAATTACTTTCTCCAGATCTAAAGGTTGTAGTTCCTCCAGTAGGCTGATCTTTGGGTGTTGTTTATTTATTACACCCCCAACCCCCCTGACCAACACCAAAACATTCATCTAAAGCTCACATTAAACTGGGAAAACACTACAGTTTTAAGCTATTCTAAGGTGCATCGCATGCTCATGGACACAAGAGCAATGTTGCTAAGACATGTTGCGTCGGGGTTTATATTCAGACAAAAAATTTGCTTCACCTCCGCTGCTACAACTCCATCCTAGGGGAAACACTGAATAATGCATAGTTAATCATCTGATTTATCTGATCTCTCAATGTTTTATTGTTCAAGAATTTTCCCCGAGGATCAATAAAGTATTTCTGATTTATTTAATGTCCAAAATTAACTTTTTCACTCACTGGCCAAGAGGACTGGTAGCTGAAAAACAATCCACTGGCCAAATATTTTACTGGCCAAAGTAATTGTGTCATATACATATGTTTCAGTACATTTCATTGAGATAATAAGGTAGTTTGTTGAACACAAACTTAAAGAAGAGGCCAGAGCAAAATCTGAAGCAATCTGAAGGATATTGATCAGTTTATCAATTCAAACCTGAATGCAACCCAAGAAGTATTGATCTCAAATTTCTACTTCAGAATTTGCTATTAAATGTACTTATGGATCAAACATAAAGGTAATGGGTAAAACACACTTTCACTCTGGGGATCAGGTTTTGTTACCCCCCTTGAGGATTTTTTTTTTTTTAAATAATAAATAAATATTTTATATTCTATATTTTACCAAGTAGTTCTGGTGCCTAAACCTAACCATACTGCAACCATCACCTGAAAGGTTTCACAGCAAGCTTTATTTTGAAAAAGTCTAACCGGTGTTTACATATTTATTATTGCTAACTCGAGCACAACCGATTCATCGTTTTGCAGATATTATCGGCAGATATAACTACTATAGATCATATAGAGCTACTTGCACATATATCTGCATTGGTGTTTATAACAGCTGATATATGACTATTAAAAAAGAGAAACAGAGTCTCGGATCCTCCCCTCATGACATGAGTGTTGCTAGGGCTGCACGATTAATCACAATCGCAATGTTGTCGTGACTATATAACTGCAAAAAGTATGTGATTTAATAAAACCGTAAAAGTGAGTATGATACTCTCGTCACCAGAGCACCGATCTGTGACAGAGATAGAGAGACGTCGGCAGCAGCTGAAGCAGT